TACTGTGAGTCTCAGGGTGTGTCTATTACTGTGACAAAATACTATAACAAAGAAGAAGAAGGAGAAGGAGAAGGAGAAGAAGAGGAAGAAGGATTTACTTGACTTACACTTCCACATAGCTGTCCATCATTCATCACCAAAGTAATTAAGGTATAGGAACTCAAGCAGGACTGGAAGCTGGAGGCAGGGGCTGATGCAGAGCCATGGGGGGATGCTGCTTACCGTCTTGCTTCCCCTGGCTTCCTCAATATGCTTTCCTATAGATGACTAATGATAATAATAATATCAATAAATGACAATAGGAATAATGCAGTTTGTCATTAATTCATAATCTAAAAGAAAACAGTACACTAAAGGCAAATAGTTTACTAAATTCACAAAGGCTATAAAACATAGTAGCATATTTGTGGGCAAATTTTTAAGAGGTTTGTTGAGAACAAAGCAGCAGTACTTGTTACCCACAGATCTTGTTAGGAACAGCACTTGTTATCCACAGTACTGGTTATCCACAGAGCTTGTTATGAACAGTACTTATTATTCACAGTTCTTGCTGTCCAAATAACTTTTTATCCCAAGTACTTGTTATGCACAATAGTTGTTATCCTCTGCGCTTGTTATCAGTAGTGTTTGTTATGTACATGGGCTATATGCAGAGTATAAAATGATTTACTATGTTAATGTTTCGCTAACTATTTCTCTTCAAGGTAATCTATAAATTAAATATCATCTAATTCTAAATTTTCATACTCAAAATTTCCTTTACGATGTAAAACCATATTAGCCTATCCTTGTTACAAACTGCATTTGTAATAAGCAAAATTTAAGCAGAGACCACTAACCACAATTATTCAGCAGTCTGACAATGTTGAGTCAAACAATGGCCAGCAGGTGGCAGAAGAGAAACGTTTATGGATTGCTTTTAGCCAAATAAATCACAACCATTTTGAAAATATTTTTTGCTATTACTTGCTAAACTTGGAGATGAGTTAATAATCAGTACCCCATAACCAGTAATTTCATTTCTTTATTTTATATCTATGTATAGTCCTGGATATATATAGTACGTCTAGCTGAAAACTAATACTGAGATTTTGAATTTTGCACTATTTACAATAAGAAAATAAAAAGCAACTCAAATTTCTAGCCCTTGGAGAATCAAATAAGTGCTGATGTGAAAATTCTACAAAATGAGTCCGCCCTGTATGAAGTGCTCACACATGTTGCTGAGTGTTGGATGGAATCTTAGCTATAATAAAGCATCATTTCACCTCGTCTATCTAAAGTTACATAACTAGAGAAGGGTTTGAAAATCCAATGATAAGTTGAACTTAGACAACACTGAATTTAAGAGAGCACTGAAGTGGGTGAATTGTGAGAGACAGAGAATGAGAAAGCTGAGCCTCAGCAGGATACAGAGTGAAATGGAAACCCTGGTAACGTTCTGGAACTTGGTTGTGCATTTTGTCACTACTTCGAGAGAAAGTATACATATATGTGTGTGTGCGTGTGTGTGTGTGTATACATATGTGTGTGTGTGCGTGCATATATTATGCTTATGTATGTATAAATGTTTTATGGAATCTTAGATTTTCCTATAATCTGTATTTTATACATTTTTGCATCCAAAATATTATGCAATTACAGAGTTTGTAAATGGGATGGTGAGGTGGCTCAGCAGGTAAAGGCACTTCTAGCCAGTCTGATGATCTGAATTTGACCCCAGGGATCCACACAAAAGGAGAGAATTGACTCCTGAAATTTGTCCTCTGAGCTCGGCATGCACTCCATGCCCACACACAGAAATACATACAGAAATAAGTGAGTATGGAAATATAAATAAATAGAATAACAACAAAAAAAAGAAATCTGGGAAAACATGCTGTATCTTTGAAATATTCTCTAGTCATATGCATAACAGATTTAGAAATAATCTGTAAAATTGTCCACATAACCTTATTACTTTCTGTATGTATGTGTTTATTAAATGTAATTGTTAATCTTCATGATCAACTTGATGGAAATTAGCATCACCATGGAAAAATACCTCCTGCTGTATCTATGAGAGTGTTTACAGAAAGGCTTGATGGAGCAGAGAAACCCACCCCCAGCATGGGAAGCAACATTCCATAGGAGCAATGCATTCAAAGGGGTTGGAGAAAGAAGCAGGTATTGACTAGCATCATTAATGGCTCTCTGCTGCCTGACTGTAAATAATATGTGAGCAACCGCCTAGAGCTCCTGCTGCCAAGACATTGCCCCCTCAAACTGAAAGGCAGAAAAAAAAATTCCAAGTTGCTTTTACTAGGTATTTTAGAATATAAATAATAAGATAACTAATGCACTGTGGATTATCATTCACCTTCAGACTAAATCTGCACATCCTAACTCACACCTTTCTAATGTTCCCTACCAGACACTTTTCTCCATTTTCTTTAAACTCCCATATTCCTATTCAAGTGAAGTTTGCAAGCATTCCCATTCAGAAAACACTACCAGCAGTCTTGTTATCTTGTTATAGCCTGGTGTTTTTCCTCATCTTTTTATTTCTTTTCAACTACAGTAAGAACTTCCAACTGTCATCAGGACATTTTCAATAAACTTGTCAGAGACCATGCAGCAGAAACACATACAGACAGCTTACCTGAACAAGGAGGAGCTAACGGCCACTAGACTGATAGCATGGGACTGACTCAGGCCCCCCTGAATATGGGTCTCAGCCAGAAGGACTGAGCAGTCTAAGAGACCTCAGACAGTGGAGCCAGGATGTATTCCTGGTGCACAAAAGGACTTTGTGAACACATCCCACATGGAGGGATAACTGCCTTAATCTAGAGACAGGGGAGAAGCCCTAGTCCCTACTTCACATGACCTGTCAGACCTACATGACCCCAACTGGATGGCATTCCCCTACATATGGAATTGGGGTGGGGAGATGGGGGGGAGGGTGGTTAGAGTGCATGTGAGAGGGCAGAGAGGGTAAAAGGGAGGGAAGGAGGGAGGGAGGGATGGAGGGACGGAGGGGAGGGAGAGGGAACTGGGATTGACATGTAAAATAATAAATTAAATTAAAAAAAATGCTTTGACTCCAAAATTTAAGTTGAAGGACAAAAATAAATAAATAAATAAAATAAACTTGTCAGAAAAAGAACAGATGCTTCAATATACTGACACTATAACCTACTCTCACAAGTATGAGCTGTGTGAGACGAGTATTAACAAAACTCTGAGTGAAGCTAATGGCACCCACGTTGCCCAGTGAAAACGAACATTTAAAATCAAAGTAACCAGCCCCAGTATTGAACTAATAACTCAACACTGTGAGAAATAAACATGGAAAATTGACAGAAATATAGTTATTTCCTAATATAATAATCAGCATGTATTTAGTGAGGGACAACGGTGGAATGCTGTAGGGCATACTCAAGGTTTTTAATAGCACCAAGATAACAACCTATGTAAGTATAATATAATTGCTTCAGGCAGGGACAGGTGGATCTCTGAGAGTTCGAGGCCAACATGGTCTACACAGCAAGTTCCAGACAGGCCTACATAGAGGGACCCTGTCTCAAACACAGCAAGAGAAAAACGGCTTCAGTCTAGCAAAACTTTATACATATGATAGTTAGACATGAGATCTCAGTTTACTATAATAATTCCACTTACTAAGCAGTCTAGTCTGACCTGTGGAAATATTACCACCACCACTACTAGTAAGAGAAGTCCAGACCTTTGCCATCAGAATTTCTAAGTAATTAAAGTTTTTCACCCTTACATGGATTTTGGTACATGGCAACTAGCCTGAATACCCTCCATTAGAATCTCACAGTCTCTGTTTCGCTGAAAGTTAAAATCCAGTTCTGGATATGGTAACTCAAACCTGTAAGACCAGCCTTTTGCAAGCTGAGGGAGGAGGGTCAAGAGCTAGGGCCAGTCTGGGACTCCAGGAGCCATTTCTCAAAACAAAATGAACAAGAACTCTCTCCAGCTAGGATTTATCTTTTATAAGTGTTTCAACCAACCAAGTAAAAGGATGTTGTCAGGACAGGCAACAGAATATTTGCAAACTCCTTGGGAAGCTATGATGGATGCAGGCACCACATTCTCTAGAGCAATTTAGTGCCTTGCCTTTTGTTATTGAAAAGGGAAGGAAAAGGATACTAGATATCACCCAATAAGGAAGTAAATGTTTTTCCTGTTTGTTTTGTTTAGGAGGGAGAGGAAGTATGGGATGCAATAAAACTCTTAATAAATTCATGACCTTGTTTGGAGGAGGAGCTATGCAATTTTATAGGATCCAATGAAAGTGTGTGTGTGTGTGTGTGTGTGTGTGTGTGTGTGTGTGTGTGTACTATATGTGTATTGTGCATGTACTGTGTGTTTCTTTTATGTGACTGTGTGCAAGTGTCTGTGTATAGTATGTATGTTTATTTTGTGTGGCTGTGTACCCACATGTGTGTGAGTTCATATGGCGGGCAGAAATCAACAACAAGTACAGTTTTTATGTGGTGGCAGGGAATCCAGACTCAGGTCAGATCATGTGTACCAACCAGAACAAATCAATCTCTTTTGATAACTCTATAGAATTTCTCATTGTTAGGTAAATTAGATGCTTTGACGTTTGAGACTCTTAAGTAACTTGGTAATCTAATTGTATTATTTTTCACATAAAGAGTTTGTTTTGTTGATGCAGACAGAACATATATTAATATGGCATAACTGAGTCATTCAACAAGACAAAGCTGAATTGGAACTCACAATTCACTTTTAGTAATTCAGTTTTAAGTACATGAAAATAGCATATAGTTCCTGAGATTTATTCTGAATTCCATTGTCCTGATAGCTTCCACATAGGGGGTTAGGGTTGAAGTTAGGGTTAGGCTTCAGCTAGTATCTGTCCCTATAGGAGCAATGGTACAATGCCCTGGGTACATTGGGGGAACAAAAGATTGAGATGTATAAAACAAACTTAAGCATGGAATCTTTTTAATTTAAAATTTTATTTTATTTACAAATGTTATTTTTAAAAGTACACAAATAAATAAATGTTTCTACTTCAAGACATAAGAAAGCATGACAAAATAATTGCTGACCAAGGCACTGTGCCTTACAAAGAAGACATAAAATGTCCAAGGGATATTCACAACATTACAGTTATTAAAAAGACAATAAATGCTATGTACATAGTGCAAAAAACACTGAAAAACACTGAAAAATAAATAACAGCTGTTCTGTTCTTCTCAATACTTATAAAACCTGATTTGTACATGCACAATCCTACCTCAAAAGTAGACTGCATCTGTCTATGCACCCCCCTATGCCCAGTCTCTATTATACTAGAGGCATGACAGAGCTAGCACCTAACTCATCCCCTCAGAAAGTAATGAATGGACAGATCTAAACGTTCATCATCTTCCAACTACGTAAGTAAATAACTTTTATTTAACATATTAAAATGACCTTTTAAAATATTATAGTGAATTGCCAAACACACTTATCTCTTTAAATATCACAACGATCATAGCAATATCTGAGAGTTGAAAGATAAATAAATAAATAAATAGATAGATAGATAAATAAATAAACTTTCAGACAGTAAAAACACATCAGGAACCATCCAGGCTTCCAGGGTGTTGTTTTCTCTTTGATTCTTCTCCTTGAAGTACAGCAGCCCACATCCCAATTCTTTCCAGGTCAGTTAGTCTTGCCTCTGTGATGAGAAAAGGCTTGCTGTTATTAGGCACTCAAAAGACTGACTGCTCTTTTCTTCCACCTTCTGGACCTTGTTTTATTCTCCAAGCGCAGTCACCTCTAGCCTCCCACCAGGGGACTGTTGCCCATGCCATGGCTGCACTATCTAGCAATCAACATTCTGGATGCTTTGATATTATAACATTAGAGTTGGTGGTTCCAATTGTACTAGCTTCTGGCAGTCCAAATGATATGAAGAATAAAACTGTAAAGATGCAGTTTCCCTTAAGCTATAGCGTTAACATGACTAGCACCTATTATTGTCCACTTAGAGAGGGTAAGAGGGAGAGCCTACTCTTGAATTTCAAGTGGTCCCACTGGTAAACCTCTGACCCTCATCAAGAAGCCTCAGAGGCACACCTTGACCCAAACCAGGAGTTACATTTTACAGCCCAAAGACATGGAAAGGGCAGAGATAAGTACTGTATCACTGTAATAGACAATAGGCTTTACAATGCCACTAATCAATTCTACTTAATTCTTGGGGACACACACAGCGACTATCCTTTAGAGTACGGCTTTTCAGTGTGTAGAAAGCAGTTCATATCTTTATACCATTAGAATGAATTGATGATCACAAGGCAAGGCTAACTATGAAAGTAATGATCCCGGTTTCTGGTCTCTGGTTAACCTTGATTTTTCCCCGATACAATTTTCAGGACTCGAACCTAGTACTCTGAGACTGCCATCAAGTGTAAGCACAACTCAACACTCACTTGTTCAGAATCTTTTGGATGATCCTGCGAACCAAGGGGGCTTCAGGGTCGAGGCAAACTTCTTGACCATCCTTGATAGTGGCTCTGCAGAGAGAAAGGGGGGCCTTTGTAAGGCACAAGGTCCCACTGGAGCATGGGACAGCAGGAAGGTCTGGGAGACTCAGTGGCAGAGGCTGCCGTGGAGACACTCACATGACTTCTGTCTGGGTGCAGTGGGGTCCTGGAGGTGTCACCTTCAAGCTCTGGATGGTCTTGAAATCAATCCTGGATATCGTCTTCAGGCACTGACAACGCAGCTCGGTGGCCACAACTGCCCCTGTGGGAAAACACACTGGGTCAGAGGGACTGTAGGCGGTAACGCCCACCTGAGGCTCCTCCAGGGACAGCAGCGCAGGTCCCACCTGTAGTCTGGCGGCTGGTGATCAGCAGCAGCAGCAGCAACAGCAGAGAGGCACGGAGGAGTGAACGGGTGGCTGGGGCCATGGCACTGGGTATGAGTGTGGCTGGAGTCTGGAGAGCAGGAGCTGGCTGGAGGCCCTGAGGTGCGATCTGAGGCTCTGGGGCCCTGTGCGCCTCTTTTATGCATGGTGGCTGGAAAAGCCTGAGCCCCTGTGCTAGGGAAATTCCCGGAGCTCAGGGTCTCTGCATCAGGAGGAAGGACAGTGCCCCGCCCTGAGCTGAGTGGGATGGTGACATACGCGAGCGCGTGCTGTCTGCCTCATCCTAGTGCCCTGCCCTTCACTTTGGGACCCTGAGATGTCCTTCCCCAAACCCTCAAGAGGAAGGAAGTGACCTTTGCGCTGGAGTGACCACCGGCTAGAGGAAAGTGGTCACCCAGTGACTTCTCAAAGGAGTGATGTCATCGGTGGAGACAAAATAGTTTGGAGGAATGTCAGTCATTAGGACTAGAGGAATTAAGTAAGGTGTGTGGGGTGGGGGTTGTTTCTCCGTTCCTTGCATACTTATAGATTTTTCTAGAATAAATGAAGACTTTTATTTACATATGCATAAGTACTGTTGAAATACACTCATCTCAGGCTGTCCACGAGAGTAGTTTGTTCCTGATGTGTAACAAGCTCGAATAAATCACATTTTGTGTCATATCCTTCCACAGGGGTTGGGGAAAAAGATGTGTCAAACACTTAATTCATGTTTAACCTAGGATGGAGTGTTGTAATCTCTATGAAACTTCCTCTGTGAAATTCTGGAACTTCTGAGGCACGAGTGTGCCCGTGATCACCACATTAGAGATTTTCATGAATTCAGGAAATAAAGACCTGGTGGTCTCTTGGAGCAACTCGGGGAGGAGTCGGGGCTGACACACAGGGGAGTAGCGTCCTTCTCACATCTGCATAGCAAAAAATGTGCACCTGTGAAACTGCTTAAGTATCTGGTTACAATCTCATTGTTTTTTTTTTCTTTGTTTTCATTATTGACACAAATCCATCTCTTTTTCCACCTATAATTTCTTTTGAACGTTATTATATTTTTTAAATGTTCATTGGTATTTTGCCTGTATGTATGTCTGTGTGGGGATGTCAGAAACCCCGGAACTGGAATTACAGGAATTACAGACAGGTGTAAGCTGCCCTGTGGGTGCTGAGAATTGAACCCATATCCTCCAGAAGAACAGCCAGTGCTTTTAACCATAGAGCTTTCTAGTCCCGGTGATTTAATTTTTCCACTAGAGAATCAATTGTATCTTGCTTTCCCTGACGGTGGTGGTAAGCTGTTGTAAACTCCCAGCTCTAGCCTTTCTCATTCACTAGGTCTTCTCACATTGGGTTTTAGATGGTTTGGGTGTGGGTCTGGGTACAGCTCTCTGAGAGCTGTGTGCATCTCTTTCAGAGGGAGTGTAGAGTGCATCCAGAGGCAGGGTGATGTTCAGGACTGCCAGGTAGAAACTTTTGTGCCACTAGTTATAGGGACATGAAACCCTACCTGCTGTTGATGCTATAGTTTCGTGTCTCCAAAATGCACACTGGTGGTGGTACCGAACTCAAAATGTTAAGATGAATAAATCTAACATTTGTATGAAACAGCAGTGTTTATTAAGTGCTAAAATTGTAAATAAATTAAACAAAAATTGCTTTTGCCTCCATACTAATAAAAACAAGATTCACCTAGGAATAAAATCCTCATACACAAAGAAAATAATTTAGGGCACCTGGGAGACAGAGGTAGCCAGATATCTGTGAGTCTCAGACCATCAAGGTTTGTATAGTGAGACTCCGTCTCAAGAAAAAATAATTTAGGATGAGTTTATTATCTAACTGAATTGGTTTCAGTAATTAAAACTACAAACTGAAAATGAAAGTAAATATAGTCATCTCAATTATTAGGAAATATTGTAAAGAATTCTTTGTTCCCTGAGGTAAGTGATTTATAAGACTAAGGAGGCTTTGTTTTTTAATGTTTTATCTCATGGCATAACTTTAACTCTCCTATAGTTAAAAACTGATGGACTGGCATAGTCTCTGAGGTTGTTTTTTGTTTGTTTTGTTTTATTTCCTCCTCCTCCTTCTTCCATGGTAAGAGTGAGTAAAATTAAAGCCAGTTTCATTGAAAGCATTTTAGTCCCAGGCATTTTGTTTGGTTTTTATTTTCCTAGACAAAGCTCACTGACTCTGCCAACCTAATTTGAGCACTTTTTCTAGTTTTAATAACTGAAATATTTGCCTTCAGTATTAGCAGGATGCTGTTCAGCCCACTTGTCTCTGTGATGATGTCAGAAAACAGAAAATATCTGCTGTAAGGATTCCGGCTGCAACTTGATATGCTACATAAGCAAACACCCAGAGAGAATCAAGTGCAAGGCTCCTACAATAGTTGTCAAAGCATAAAAATGTTTCAGAAACTAATTGTTAAATATATGCCAGTAGCTGTGTAGTAAAACAGCAGTTGCTTACAAAAGGGAAGACTAGCGGTCTTCCTCTCTATATTTTGTCAGTCTGACTTCATAGTGAACCCCTAACCTTAGGCTTGCTGGTTTCCAAACTTTGAAGAAAAATGGCACTCTACCAAAGTAATACAATTCTTTTTGACGTGTTAAACATCATCTCCAGCCAATTACACTTTGTGTGACAAGCTCTATGCCCAGACTTTAAAGTCACACTAGCACCAATTGGAAGGGAATGGAATCACCCACTCCCTAAGCATTAGTTTATTATCCTTTCACTATTTACCATAGATGTTATGTCTTTTCATTTTATCGAGGACCACATGATGGATTTTATAAATTCAGAGCCGCGCTCTGCCTGAGCATGGATGGAGATGCAGTAATTATCTAGTGGGCCGTGCATACCACCAGGAATCAAGATGTTTCAAACATCAGTCCTCTTTTATTACGGTTAGTGCTTTCAGTATAATTAAATAACCTGGCTGAGGAGATAATGAAGATACTTTTATTCTGCCTTAAATCACTGGAACCATGGATAGAGAGATGGGCTCAGACATTAAGAGCACTTGCTGTGCCGGGTGTTGGTGGCCCATACCTTTGATCCCAGCACCTGGGAGGCAGAGGCAGGCAGATCTCTGTGAGTTCAAGGCCAGTCTGGTCTACAGAGCTAGTTCCAGGACAGGATCCAAAGCAATACAGAGAAAGCCTGTCTTGAAAAACAAAACAAAACAAAAACAAACAACAACAACAAAAGAGCCCTTGCTGCTCTTACAGAGGACCCGGATTTGGTACTCAGCTCCCACATGACAACTGAGTCTGTACACTAGTTCTAGGGAATCCAATGCCCTAGGGCTGGCCTCTGCGGGTGCCAGTCATGAATGTGGTACCCATACATACATTTAGGCAAACGCTCATACACATAAAATAAAAATGAATAACCAAAACATCCCTAGACTCTCAATATGTTCAATCATAGTATTCATTGAGTACATCTCTAATATATTTGTCTTCTATGCCTGATCTAAGTTCCTTCCTTTTTGTCTTTGATGACAGAGTCTAGACTTTCTTTTGGAACCCAGGAATCTGGCTTGCCATCCTCATTATGTCTCTTCTTCCTTCCCAGTGCTGGTTCAAGACAAGGGATCCTATTCCACAGCTCTGGTAGTGAGCTGACAGCCCCACAGAGTATTGCCAGTTCCTCGTGCTTTAGTTTACACATCCTAGATGCCTTGGTACATTCAGCAGGGGGCAAATGACATAATCTTGTCCATGTCAGAAAAATTCCCTGGAGTTCTTCTTGTCAGTAAATGATAAAACAAAAGCAAAACAAGTTTTTACTTCCTGCTGGGTTACAGAACAGAAGCTTGGAGCCCTGCCAGTGCCTGGGAGAGGCTGCCTGAAGCTGAGCCAGTAGAGAGAAAAGCTATCTAGCGTGAGTGAGAACAGTCACCAGGTATAATCTTTGAGTTTGGAAGCTCAGCCCTCCACCCACTCACCTGCCTTTTGTTGTCATGGGAAGAAAAAATGGTTCTCATTCTGTCTGTTTCACGTGGCACTCTATGCTACTGATTCTACTTACTGATGGGTGTTCTATCAAGAGGGACATTTCAGCTTGATGTTAAACTTCCTTTCTCCTTCTGCCCCAACATTTTCAACATCTTTTTCCCCAGACTTATAATGTGGGAATGAAGTTAGTTGCTTGGGCACCAAGAGAGTTGAGAGACTCTTGAACGCTCACTGTAACAAGAGAAATATGGGAGGCAGAAGATACAAAAACCCAACAAATGCCGTGATAAGCTACACGAGACATACTCATGATAGTTGGAGAAAAGCAGCAGCTAACACAGCTCTCACTGAGGCTTTGTGAGCACTGTCTGGTTCACTTGTGACAATTTTAAACAGGTTTTCCAGGGAAAGGAGATAACCCTAAGAAGAGGGGAACCCCCTTGAGGGAGAGGCTAGAGCACACATGGCTTGTTCGGAAGGCATGTACAAGCAGCAGCAGAGACAATGTAAGATCACAATGTGATTCTCCACTGTATGAACGGTGTCCCAGACTCTTCGTGATGTTTGACCAGGAATCAGCAAATCAATATGCCCTGCCTTTCAGTCCTATTGCACTCAGAGACTTACCCCTGAAGTGCCTTTTCCTGTCACAAGGCTGCACTTCTTGGGGCATGCTTGTTTGTAAGGATTCCCAGATTTTCTCTGTATGTATGTTAAGTCCATCTTTTTGTTTTCTTATTTTACATATATATTCCAGTTCCCTCTCCCTTCTTCTTTCCCTCCCATCTCACCTCCCTCCCCACTTCACAGGGAGGGTGATGCCTTCCAGGAGGGATCAACAAAATCTGTCAAGTTATTTGGAGTAGGGACTAGGCCCTCCCTCCTGCCTCTAGGTTAAGGGAGTATCTCTCCATGGGGAATGTGTTCCCAAAGTCCTTTTGTACACCAAAGATAGGAAAACCAGCGTTGGACCAACTCAGAACCCCTGAACATAGATCTCAGTTAGAAGACCTAGGCAATCTAAGTCCATCTTTTTAATAAAACGCAATGATAATTTTCCTTGTAAGGTAAACGAGATACTTTGATTTTTGAGATTTACAATGCTATTAACTGTTCAGTGAAAGAGTTTGATTTGTTGATTCACAAAAAGGTATGATAAATATGGAATAACCAATAATAAGATAAAGAGTAGAGCTGAGACCATAATTTATTCTTAACAATTCAATTTTAGATGCTTAGCCATGGTTAAATTACAAATTGTTGATTTATTCCAAATTCCAAATTCCATTGCCCTGATTGCTTACACATAGAGAGTGGATTTGAGTAGATCTTTGTACAGTTATTGAAAAGGACATAAAAAGAAAGACTTTTGCAGCATGGTAAGACTTGCTTTGTACCAACATGGATTGTTCTTAAGTGAAGGAAAAAAAATTCTCCAGGAATAGGGAGATGGTTCAATTGTTCAATCAGTGAAGAGGGAAAGAGTCTGCCCCACAAGCAGAGAATCTGAGTCTGGATTCCATGCCCCCACATAAAAGCTGGACATGATGTTGTCTTCTGCCCACCACATGAACACACACACACACACACACACACACACACACACACACACACAGAGGCAAACATCCACACAAAACAAACATACATACAATATACACACATGTGCACACAGTCACATAAAACACACAAACACACACACACACTTTCTCATTAAAGCATTCTTTAAATTAACTGCAAATGTCACTGGATCCTATAAAATTGCATAGCTTGCCCTCCAGATAAGGTCTTGATTTTTAGGGTTTTATTGTATCCCATAATTCCTTTCCTTCCAAATAAGACAAACTGGGGGAAGGGGAATCTACTTCCTTGTTGTCTGCTGTCTAGTAACTTCCTCCTTTCATTTTCAGTAAAGGGGGACAAGACAATACTTGTCCTAGAGAATGTACTGCCTGAGTCCATCAGAGCTGTCCACAGAGAGCTGCAAATACTCTCTGTTGTCTGCCTTGGTATAGCTTATCCTTTGACTTGGTCTGTTGGGACACTTATAAAAGATAAAGCCTCACTAGAAAGAGTTCTTGTTTCCTTTCCTTTCCTTTCCCTTTTCTTTCCTTTCCATTCCTTTTCTTCTCAAGCATCAACTTTCTTAAAGACCCAGACTGGCTTCAAACCTTGATCTTCCTATTAGCCTGTGTTCAGGGAGAGCAGAGTGGTGATCTTAGGGTCTTGTCAATTCTTTTGAATCTTATTCCATTGGGAAGCTACCACTGGCATCTAAAGCTGGTTCCGTGGCCAAAGTGTGTACATCATACTGTGAGACTTACCCACTGTCTACCCCGAGGAGAGTGGAAAGGTTGGGGAGATTTTAGGTTCAAATCACATACCAAAATAAAATGAGAATAAATATTAAAAATCAAAAGCCATTTATTAGATATTTGTAACATATCAGGGGTAGTGACATATTTAAAAGGTTAATAAAGTCAATCAGGAAAAGAAGAATTCTTTCACGTGTAAGACACTTCCATCCAGCCTTACAGGTGGTCTTTTTCTTTTTCTTTTCTTTTTTTTTTTTTGTTTTGTTCTTGTAGTAAGGCTGTTTTTATTATTTCAATAATCTGTAAATATTTAAATTCATTTTAATTAATGTTAACCAATAACTAATTAATATTAATTTAATCTATTATGTCTGGAAGGTATTCCAAGACCCTTCTGCAAAAGGCTCTTTAAAATTTTTTTTAATTTTATTTTGAGGCAGGGTTTCTTTGTGTAGCCTTGACTATCCTGGAACTGGTTCTATAGATCAGGCTGGCCTCAAACTTACAAAGATTTGACTGACTCTGCCTCCAGAGTGCTGGGATTAAAGGCGTGTTCCTCCACTGCCCAATGCAAATGGTCCTTAATATAAAACTTTATGTCTCCATTTGTTTATAAAATTGTAAAGTCCCTTGTGGAAATAATATCACACAATTAAATTGCATTATATTTATGTGATGCAACCTAAGAAATATGGGAACTCCAAAATTTACTAAACTATGTCTGAAATAGACATAAGGAATGAGGAAATAACTCCATGGCAATATTTTTATCATAGGAGATGGAAAAGCAAGATGACTCTGACATTGTGAAAGCAAATTTAGGAAGCTGAGGGGTGAGTTCCTAACCACAGACACGCACAGTTTATGGTCAGACCGATTTCAGCTAGAAAAGCAAGATCATCATACAAAATGATGATCAGGGTGTGTTCTCTATATCTTTTCAACATTTTCCATGTGTGATATACTTTTCGAGACCAATATGTAACACTGTAAACAAAACAAAACAAACAAAAAAAAAACTTTGTTCTATACAGTTGCAGAAGAGCTATCTAGAGATTTCAGTCAGGTCAATTCAGTTATATTTTTGAACTCTTCTATACTATTAGCAATAATTTGCTACCTTACCTATATCATACATTGAGAGAGTCAGGTAGAACTTTTTATATATAGGAAGTCAGCATGGCAACAATTTCTATAATCGAAGGGCTAAGGTAGTTGTATCATATAGTCATGGCCAGTATGATAACCTATCTCTAATCCTTTTTTTTTTTTTTGTCTTTTAAAACAAGATTTTGTGTAGTGTGTGATGGTTTCTTCTAAATCACCATGTAACTGAGACAAGTCTTTAATGGCAGACTCTCCAAACAAAGGGATTGTAGGTGTGTGCCACCATCATACCAGGCACAAAGAATCTTTATGAATTCTAATTTGCCTATACTCTTTGTTAATCTCTCCAAATTGCTTTATGTATTTTAGTGTTGTTTGTCAAATTTTAAAATTACTTTATCTCTCCTACAATTGTCCCCTTTATATTTTCAATCAGACTTCATTAATAGATCAGTGTTCATAAAGTATCAAAAATACATTGGTAATTATTAGTCACTGATGGATGCAATTAGTAATTGATGATATATATTAGATTCCCTTCAAATAGTTTTTGTGTGGTGGGACACAGTTTTTAATTATTTTAATTTCAAGCTATCTAGAGTTAAATATCTAAGATATATCTTTTAACAGCATGTATCACCTTACTTAAATAGCCCAATAATAGTTGACTTTTAATTACAATATTAATTCCATTCTATTTTGTTGTAATTTTATTATAGTTACATTTAAAATTCACTAAAATGTTTTATTTATTGTGCATTCTCCAAAATCAAGCTGAGATTTTGAAATTTAAATTCAGAATAATTTGTGAATTAGAAAATATTGATGCAAGGGGGAGTTCCCTCATCTGACATTCTGTTTTGTGTCTCTTACGTTAACCTGCTACATAGCTACAGTGTATTTATCAAACACAAGTGACTGATTCTGGTACCCGGTACCTGTTCAATAACTCAGGTCTTTATTCAAATTTCACCAGGATTGCATCCATGTTTTTTTTTTTTTTTTCCAGACTTGAGTGCATCACACATTGTATCTGGCTCTCATCTCTCTTCTGCCTCCTCTGATTTGTGTAGGTTTTTGATAGTACCTTGTTTTCCTTCACTTGGACAATTTTGAAGAGTGTTTGTTGGGTGTTCTGAGGAATGTCCCTCCAGTTAGAATTTGTATGTTGCTCTCTTGCATTCAGAGAGATGCTGGATTATGTAGAAGAGTGCAAATGTGGCTGATAGGCCCTTCCCTTTCCTGTCACTTTCTATCAGGGGCTGGACCACAGTCATTGCTGAGCCTTGACTACTGATAGTAGTACTGATCACGTGGCAGGATTTGGGGCTTGCAAACTTTCTCCAATATACTGCTTGTCTTATGTGTACTGTGGAAACAAATTACCAATCCCAACTCAGAGTCTCATTGGTTGAGAAATTAAGCCTGACCAATTGGAATTTTTTCTATCAGACTTCCCAGACACTTGTGTTACTTCTTTAGGTTTTTTGAATGCATGGTTGAGGTTGTTTATTTCATTTTCCTTTCATATTTTTAAGTTCTAATTTTTGTATTTTTTTCAGATTGCCTACATAGCCTAATATATGTTCTTGCCTCATTATAATTTTTCTTAACACTTTAGCCATTGATAGAACAAGGAATATTCTAAAACTATACATCTCATTAGCTGTCATCCTGTTTCCTTAAACCATGTATTTTATCTCACAATGTGTACTTACCTGTATAAGCCATTACTATTATTAGAATTTTTAATAGCAAAGAGTTCTAAAGTCCTTAGAAAAATCAACTTTTCATTTCTTGTCACCCACCTCACTAAAAGAGAAAGATAATTATACAGTTTGGAAGACCCATTTACCAAAAGGATTGAAAAAGAGCCATTGTTAAAATGTTTATAAGAATTCAGGAATTTATCAGGGGTTTCTGTAGAGCCAGATGTGTCTGCTCTGTATACTTGTAATCACAGCAGGGGTTACAAGGAGACAGCCTAGGTAGCAGAGCATGATCCCTCTCTCAAAAGTAAAGGACAGAAAAATGTTTAAAATAAACAAAGAAACAACTTTTAAGTAGAAAATTAGTCAGTGTAGAAAATAGCAATGTTTTATATAAAACTGGAATTATCAACGAGTTGGGGGAGGGTAGAATGTGCTTTTTCCTTCTCAAGTAGGCAAAAGTCGTGAGAAATACCAGCCAGCACAGGCACAGGATTAAATATAAACCAGTCATGTCAAGAAGAATAAAACAAAAGCAACGGTGACATTTTTTTGCTAAAACTTTTATTTTTATTTCATTTGTAACAGTCTTTTGAATTTCTCTGTCACAGGACAAAGAGAAACATTGGTTAAAGAATATAACAGGGCACTATGCCCTACAAAGTAGACATGAAATGTCCAAGGGAAACTTCAACACATCAGTGTTGACCATTAATATGAAAGATGACTTTCAATAAATAACTGACATTTTTTCTCAAAACATTCAAACATAGATTCCCACATATCCCCTCACCCTAATACAAAGCATGATCACATGCTCTCATCTCTGCTTTTTGCCCACCCCACACACTCCTATCACAGCGGTTGACACTTGATGGTCTCCCAATAAATATTAGTTTAGTGAGATATTTTAACCCTACCATCTTCAAACTGAACAACCAGAACTGAACTACCATTGATGAAACACATCCACATTGTTAAATATTAATATAAAATAAAATACACAAGCTTTGTGAAATAAATAAATACATAAATAAATAGGATTCTTGTAAGAAACAGTAAAACATGTTAAGCCAGTGTTGTCAGAAGCCAGCGATCACAGGTGCACCGCCAAGGCTATCGTCTTTCTCTGTCACTTGCGGACTCCGCTGCAATGGGAAAAAGAGTCACTATTACAAGTAGTCATCAAAGCGACTCCTTTATTACTCTTAGTCCCTGACGTTCTAGGAGGGATTTCAACATGTCTACCCCTGTACCCAGAGCTCTGGACAGAGGAGAACTCGGGTTCCTGTGGAGTCAACCACGTGGCTTGAAAAATGCCAGACTACATCACCATGGGTTAATTTTCAAGCATGACTTTATTCTCACAGGGAACCCTGTGATGTAGCTGCTATTAGCCCCTCTACTTGGCTTAAATTCAAGAAATTATTTAACCTGCACACAGAAATCTTGGCCTTGCACTTAGGGAGAATCTTACTGCCAAAAGCTCCCTTCCTCATCAAGAAGGCTAAGGGGTGCACACTTTGCCAAGGATCCGGTTTTCCGGCCCCTTAAGGGACTTGATAGAGTCACCGGCCTTACTTCATCTTTTAGGAACACACATCACCACCATCCATTTGTGGGGTGGGGTGGGGGGGGGTGAGTGTGGTGATAGACAAGCAGGACACAGCTCTCTAGCATCAGGGCCAATGAATGATTTCTAGGTAAGCTTAACTATGAAAGTAAAAACCACAACTTTCTGATCTTCAGACAAACACAGACTTTCCCTGATAGAATGTTGGGTAGCTGGATGCCAGTACTCTGACCCGTGACTCCAATCACAGGTACAAACACAAGTCACAACTCACCTCTTCAGCATCTTTTGGACAATCTTCTGGACCATGGGGGCTTCAGGGTTAAGGCAAGCTTCCTGACCATTCTTCAGAGTGGCTCTGCAGAGAGAAGGATGGACTCAAATGAGGCAGGAAGTCCCACTAGGATGGCTATGGGGACAGCAGGAGGGTTTGAGCGACTCTGGAAGTGGCAGAAGCTGCACTGCTAGACACTTACATGACTTCGGTTTGGGTGCAGTGGGGTCCTGGGGGCGTCACCTTCAAGCTCTGGATGTTTTTGAGGTGAACCCCTGACATGGTCTGCAGGCACTGACAGCGCAGCTCGTTGGCGACAGGAGCCCCTGTGGAAGAAGACACTGGGTCAGCTGGACTGTGGGAGGCTGAGCCCACCGGAGGCTTCCCCCCCCAGGGACAGCAGTGGCGGGTCCCACCTGTAGTCTGGCGGCTGGTGATCAGCAGCAGCAGCAGCAGCAACAGCAGAGAGGCACGGAGAAGTGAACCGGTGGCTGGGGCCATGGCGCTGGGTAGGAGTGTGGCTGGAGTCTGGAGTGCAGGAGCTGGCTGGAGGCAGTGAGGTGCGATCTGGGGTTCTGGAGCCCCGCGAACCCCTTTTTATGCATGGTGGCTGGAAAAGCCCGAACCCCGGGCCAGGGAAATTCCCGGAGCTCTGGGTGTTTTCCCCACAACCGGAAAGGAAATCGCTCCGCCCCTTGCTCCACTCCCAAGGATTGGACTCTGGGATTTTTGCCCTTTGTTCCAAAGTCCCAAAGGGGCAGTAGTGACGAGCTTTGCTGGAGAAGTGACTGCTCAGGGGGAGCGGTGGGACTCCAGGGACCCTAGAGCTTAGGGAGTGGTGTGTGACACCCACTATGTCTAAGAGGAGCTCTGCTCTTCGTAGAATTCCGGTTAGGACTACTGCCATTGGGGGAGGGTAAGAGTGGAGAGGAGTGGCAGCTTCTCCCATGTTTTGAGTTTTGCAGATTCCATTCATGTCTGAGATGAATGCACTCTTTACAAATATATCTGTGGTCTCTTATTCCATGCGAGGACATTTGCTTTTTCCTGCTATTTTTGTGATATCAAATAAATCACATTTGGCCCGCGTTTTTTTCTCAGCGAGACATGGCAGGAGGGAGAAGGGGAAGATCCCTGTCAAGGTTAGCTCCCTGTTTACCTTAGAACACTACAGCAGTCTCCTCTTTGTCTTTTGAACTTGGGAACTTCCCAAACTCCAGTGGTTCCCGAAGCATCACTGCCCTGCTGTGTGGCAGGTCATAATTTGTTTTGACTACGGAAAGTCCACAGGAAAGCTGTGAGGGTCATGGAAGCCGCAAGGCACCAGTTCAAGTGCAAAGGACTATGGCTTTATAAAATACATATTAGCTTATTGGTACAGGTGTATTTCCATGTCATCTGAATCGATCTGTCGTATAATATTGAGTCTCTGGAAGCTTTATTACTGTCATTATTCATCATCACATGATTATTCTTGTTGTTGTCTGATGTAGCCCAGACTGACCTAGAACTATCTATTGATAGTTCCCGATGTGCTTCTCAGATGCTGAAGGCACCACACCGGACTTCACAGATAATAATTGACATGCTTGTAGCCCTCTATTTAAACCATTTCAGAGTCTGTTTAATTGCAGTCTTCACATCAGTTTCATGTTCCTTTTGTTGCCTTTTTTGGCATTTGACTGTGGATCCCAGGTGAGCACCATAGGTTCTACCCTTCAGGAAGGGAGTCAGGGAAGCAGCAGGTGGAAGGAGCCCTTTCCCTGGATGTCCTCATAATAGGACTGAATAGGATTGAAGCCCCTACAGGAGTTCAGATATCTGCATGTGCTAAGTCTAAGTACCCAACCCCCCTCCCTCTTCCCTGAGGACTGTGCAAGGGAAAAGGAGTCCTTCACCAAACACTAAATGTGTTTCCAAATATTCTAAGAGTAACAGTGTTTTGAAAACCCAGTGTGATAAGAGAATTCCTCCATGCTTTGCTATATGTGGAATGCCACTGTACAGGCACCAGTTGCAAATCACATATCAACTAACTCAGTTAAGTCATTTCTGAAATACAGAGGCTCATAGGGGCAGGAGAAATGGCTCAGCAGCTAAGAGCATGCACTGCTCTTGCAAAGGAGCCAGTTCCAGTTGCCAGCACTCATATCAAACAGCTCATTGCCACCTGTAACTCCAGTGCCAGAGGCAAGGCATCTAATGCCTCAGCAGGTTCCTGCACTCATGTACATATTCACACTCATATACATAATTAAAAAGTAAATCTTAAAGGACAAATAGAAGCTCAGCCAATTAAGTTCCATTATACATGGGACCTTTTATTGTGTCTTCCATATTAATGTATATGCTTTGACAAGCCCATGGCATCTACAGACAACTTGTCTACACTGAGCACTGACTGCTGTGCAGACACCATGAATGAAGGGGGAGGCTCAACTCCACCCTCACTTACCTTGATGACTTTGATGATATAACTTCCACCATTCTCTGACGTTCATAGTTTATTGTATAATTGCTTTATTCTGGAGTGATAGGGGATGTCCATCTGAATGCTGTGAATATATGTTTTTCTTATCCGTTGATGAATAAAGCTGTTTTGGCCACTGGCCAGGCAGGATATAGCCAGGCAAGAAGTGTAGGCTGGGTTACCAGACTAGGAGAAGGTTGGGAAGAAGAAGAGAGAGGGAGTTGAGAAAGCCGCTATGTGGCTGCTGAGGAAGCAAGAGATTCGGGCATTCTCTAGTAAGCCAAGACCATGTGGAGATACACAGATTAATAGAATTGGTTAATAATTAAGAGAGAGCTAGCCAATAAGAAGCCTGAGACATCAACCAGTTTATAATTAATATAAGCCTCAGTGTGTTTATTTGGGAATAAAGGGCTGTAGAACAGGGTGGGAAATACACTTTCATCTATACTAAAGGGAGAAAATGAGTGTTGAATGTATTACTAGATATGTCTCTAAGAGAACTCAGTTAATTATTAGTGTTAACCTCCCTTTACAATATCTAATTCTTTCAATTTCATTTCCAATTTGTACCTTCACACACCAATCTTTCCCCTCCTTTTAACTTAGAGCTTGGTTTGCCCAATGTAAATTCTCACCTTAGCCATCATTAGCTCATAGGGTTGGAGTGACATGACTTACTTTACTTCTGAACATTGTAGGGAAGCTTATGGCACCTGGCAGTGTTGGTTCATCTGTTTCCTTGCCTTATGTAGGCCCCAGAAAGTAGGGAACTTGTCAGTTCAGACTGGAGCAGATGACCATCTTGGATGGAGTGGAGTCAGTTCCAGTTGGGTCAGAGTCCACAGAGCTAGGAGATGCTTGCTGTTTGCTGGGACTGCCAAGCTGGCCCAGTGTAAATCTTTGGTTTTGACATTACTTTCAAGATACTTCCTGATGATGGAACTAACACAAAGGAAACACTCATGACCTACCAGGCACAGGAATATTCAGGGTATCATAGGGACATATGATGCCAAACTCGCCTGTTTTATCTGTAACTAACCAGCATCCCAACAATGGTTTTAATTCCTCTGTTATATCAGAACCAACATGATTCAGTTACGCCTTAAAGGCCCTGTTTCTTAGTACCATTGTAATGACAGAAAATTTTCTATATGGGTTTTGAAGGAGACATCCCAGCTGTAATGTCATTTACATTTTCCTCATGTGTATTCTTATGCTGATTATACAACCCTCACTAATATACTGATACTTGGATTATTAAAGCAGTATCTGGGTGCAAGTGATTGAAATCTTATCAAACTATCATAAGAAAAATGAAATATATATATATATATATATATATATATATATATATATATATATATGGGTGGGTATGGGTTTTAGGGTGATGGTATTGAGTACAGAGATGGACAAGAAGGAAGTCTATGGATTGCTAGGTGATGGCATGGTGGTGGCCACTACTCATTGCTAGTTCTAAGAAAAAGAATGTGAGACATATAGCTTACTATATTTTTCTAAGGCCAGATAATACCATATTATTTTTTTAATATATTTATTATTTTTTTCTTATTTTACATATCAATCCTAGTTCCCTCTCCCTCCCTCTCTCCTATGCCCCCTGACTCCCCTCACATCCCATTCCCCCCCCACACACACACTCCACAGGGAGGGTGATGCCTTCCACAAGGGGTCATCAAAATATGTCAAGTTATTTGGAGTAGAGTCTAGGCCCTCCCCCGTGTCTCTAGGCTAAGGGAGTATCCCTCCATGGGGAATGTGCTTCCAAAGTCCTTTCGTGCACCAGGGATACATCCTGATTCCACTCTCAGAAATCCTTTAGACTGCCCAGGCCTTCTAACTGAGACCCACGTAACTAACTTACATGCCATCATAGAGCCCTCATCTAGTAGCTGATGGAAACAGAAGCAGATATCCACAGCTAAACACTGAGGTGAACTCCTGTAATCCAGTTGCATAGAGGGAGGAGTGATAAGAAAAGGGGTCAAGACCAGGCTACAGAAACCCACAGAGACAGCTGATCAGGTGATATTGGTAAGGCATCCTTGAATGTAAGGGTTATCAAAAGTGTTGTCAACTAAAGTAAAACAATAAAATATGAAATTAACTAAAACTAAAAATAACCTCTTGTACATTTCATTCAGTGTAAGGAATGACATAAATACAGAAATAAATACAGAGGATGCAACAGTGGCTGCCAAGGGGGAGAGATGTAGAAAGTTATTAGTTTCTGTGGGAGTGTACTCATGTGTGCATGTGTGTTGGGGTGTACATGGGAGTATGTGTATGTAGGACTGTGGTTGATACTGGAATGTTTCCCTCAATTGCTTTTCTACCTTAATTTTGAGTCAGGCTCCTCATTAACCCACTGCTTTGACTAGGCTGGCTGGCTTATGGATCCCTGGGATCTGTCTGTCTCTCTAGACCTCAACAGTATTGGGATTACACACACATGCATAATCACTCATAATTTTTATTTTGGTACTGGGGATGTGAACTTAGGTCTTAATGCTTGAACAGAAAATACTTTACCCACTGAGCCATCTTGCCATCCCTGGGAATTATCAACTAGACATAGGATTTTGTAAATATATTCTGAATAATGTTTGCATAGCACACTGCAGTTAGAGAGAGAGAGAGAGAGAGAGAGAGAGAGAGAGAGAGAGTATGAAAGAATCCTTGTCATGTCTCTGAAAGTAGTCAGATGTTTTGAAAAGGTGAGAAACATTGCCATTGCCATTGGTGGTGGTACAGCAGGTGTCTGCAAACTGCTTTACAAGAGATGAAAACTGGGTACAGCTATCATAATGATGCACTGTGAGTAGATGCTAGAGTGAACAGGAAATGTTAGGGTTTGAAAGGTGAGATTGGGAACATTAGGGATGAGACCAGCAAGCAGAGGTGATAAGGACAGGACTATGCTATGTTGGCTTCTCAGAAGATCCCTTCCTTGAGGAACATGGACAATGCACTGTTGCCCTTTCATAAATCTCAGTGCTAATGAAGCTCAATGTGATTGACTGAACGGTGAGTAAAGATGGCTCCTAACAAAAAGTGTTCAACTACTGTAGAGAAGAGACCAGCTAGACTGCCCAAAGGCTAGGAGCTGGGACAGCCAAGAGGTACTGCAGCTACGTCTTAGTAGGAGTGAAGGAGTTAGCTCCCTCTGCAGTGAAGC